ATTACACCTCCAGTGAAGGCTGAAAAGACAGACAGTTTTGCTTGTGTTGATGGTGAGCCCGAATTTGGCCGCTGTAGAAGCCAGACCACTAGTCATGTGCTGCAACTCATCCGCGCTGTGTGAAAACAACGCACAGTCGTCAGCAAACAGCAACATACGGATAGTTGTCTCACAGACTAGAGTTCTCGCACCGAAACGACGGATGTTCAGCAACCCACCATCAATACGGTGCTCCACACGAACACCGTAAGCACAAGCCGCATCAAAAGCACAAGACAACGTTGCATGAAGATAGATATTAAACAGGGCAGGAGCTAACACGCAGCCTTGCTTCACACCAGAGACAACTGTAAAGTCATCAGATGTCTCTCCACTCAGCTGCACCCTCGCTAGCATACCACTGTGCAGACATTCAATTAAACTTACAAACTTACGCGGGCAACCAAACTTACCCAACACCAGCCACAGTGCCTCGCGGTTCACCGTATCAAATGCCTTGGTGAAATCAACAAAAAGCGAGTACAAAGGCTGGTGTCGTTCTCTGCACTTCTCTTGCAACTGACGAGCCGCAAACACCATATCTATAGTGCTGCGACCCGAACGGAATCCACACTGCTCTTCCGCCACGTTTGGTTCCACAACCTGACTCACGAGGCGATTGAGCAGGATTCGGGCAATCACCTTGCCCACACAACTCAGCAAGTTGATGCCACGATAATTCGTGCAACATTGCTTGCTACCTTCGCCCTTGTACATTGGTAGCACAAGGGCATCCTTCAGCTCAGCAGGCACTTCCTCCTCAATCCACACGCGTTGCACCAAGTGGTGCAGCGCAGTCAACAACGCGGGTCCACCGTGTTTCAATACTTCAGGTGGGATCCCGTCACCTCCGGCACATTTGCCGTTTCGCAGCTGAGCAAGTGCTCTCTGCGTCTCATCCAGTGTCGGCGTATCCGCCAGATCCGCCTTCACATCGTGCTGCTTCAGGCCGTTCAATGTAGGCCAGTCGATCTCTGAACGGTTGTTCAAGAGACAGTCAAAGTGTTTCCGCCAGATCTGCATTATGTCTGCAGTCTGGGTGCAGGTAGCGCCTGAACTACCATCGATCAGTGTCCTCAGCGGCTCCAATCTCGGTCCATACACCGCCTTCAAGGAGTCAAAGAATTCCTTGTGTTGACGGCGTTCGGCGTAGCATTCCATCTGCTTCGCCTTCTCCGTCCACCATGCATTTTTTAATGCGACGGAGCTCTCGGGTCAGTCGTCGTCGAAGTTTGCGAAACTGACTACTCTTCCCCAAGTCACTGGGGTCTGCCACATGTGCAGCAAATGCTGCATTCTTCTCTGACACCAATGCGTCAATCGTCACATTGTTGTCATCAAACCAATCAGGCCGCTTACAGTTTGCGCGCCCGATGGTCTCCTCGGCAGCAGCTGTCACCTGGTCGCGAATGTGGTGTCACAGGTCGCCCACTGTGGCTATACAGTCCACATCACCACACAGGCGTGCAGCCATCGCCTTCTCCAGCTCAGTACGTTTCGCCACAGTACCGAGGGAGAGAATGTTAAATTTACGCCGATTCACGGCGGGAGTGCAATACATCGATTTACGAAAATATATGTACAGTTTGGTCCGAACCAATTTGTGACCAGTGCCACACTCAGCTCCACGCAGTACACGTGTCATGCGCACTTCACGCTTATCACGCTGACGTACGATGACATAGTCGAGCAGGTGAGCGTGACCACTCCGTGGGTGCGTCCAAGTTGCTATATCACTCGCACTCAGTGCAAACCGAGTGTTCGTGATCGTCAGGCCGTGAGTGGCACACAGTAAGAGCAGCCTGTCACCGTTCGCATTCGCTGAACCAATGCCATGCGCACCGATAACATCTGTCCACGCTGATGCATCACGCCCAACGCGCGCGTTGAAATCACCCAGCAGAAATAGTCGGTCGCTCCTCGGCACAGACCGTATCACGGAGGATAGCTCAGTGTAGAACTGATCACGCGTGTCATCAGGATAACACATGGTCGGACCGTACGTGCTTATAAAAGTAGCAAACTTACCTCTTCCGAGTCGCAGGCGAACAGTCATCTGCCGCGCGCTGATGCCCGTTGGTTCACCCACCAGCTGGCCATTCAGGCGGTCGGATATTGCAAATCCGACCCCATGTTTATGTGGAGCTGAGGCGGTGTTGCCCACCCAGTAGAATGTGTAGCCAGCACCTGCTTCATGTAACTTACCTTGCTCAGCGAGCCGAGTTCCACTGAGCGCCGCAATATCGATGTGGTAGCGCGCCAGCTCCATTGCGACCAGTGCAGTGCGTCGCTCGGGGCGCTCAATGGAGTTCCGGTCCAGTAGTATGCGCAAGTTCCAGAACCCGATGCTGAGTGCGGGCATACGATTGCATTGGTGGGAATCGCAAGCGAGGTGGTCGTTGTGCTTCGGAGGCTTGCTTGAGGGACTCCACCCGGAGCCTTTGGCTCAATAGCCTGACCCACAAGGCAGTGGGTGGTTTGGAGGTTTGCTTGAGGGACTCCACCCGGAGCCTTTGGCTCAATAGCCTGACCCACAAGGCAGTGGGTGGTTTGGAGGTTTGCTTGAGGGACTCCGCCCGGGCCTTTGGCTCAATAGCCGGACCCACAAGGCAGTGGAGAGCAGATCCAGCTCGGGAATGTGATTGCAGAGACAGATTGGGATCTGCTTGACGGCCGTCACACGCAGCCTTTGAGGTTCTGGAACAATTATCATATGTTTTGCGACCGTAATTGGATACGCACCTGCGACCACGGCCAGACGCAGGTGGGTTTTTGGCGGGTTTGCACCAATTTGACCAGGGGCTGCCTGGCTTGAGGCGGGCAGTAGCAAACCATTGAACACCCGGAGGTGTCCTCCCACCGTCAGAGACAATGCGTGGCACTCGTGCTCTACGCCAATCGAGCATTGAGAATATCACCCGTAACCTGTTGTCTCCCATGGCTAGGTTTTACGGGAAGTGGGCCATCGACCACTTCCTAACCTCCGGAGAGGATGGACTAGGATACTGCCAGGGCGCCCAATCCTGACAGGAGAACGACTCGGGTCCTCAGCCAAAGCCTTCGATTAAATGAACACCCGAAAGGCAGCGGGTCTAGCACATGGTCAGTTAGCCGACTCATGCGGATTGGTGTCCTGGATCTTAGCAGGGAGAAGGGCGAAACCTAACTCCCACCCAGCGGTCGCCACGAGGAGGCGCCCAGGACATGAGCCATGGCGAAACAGTAGCAGTAGTGGGTAAACCATCTGTCAGGATCTAAGCACCACCTGCCTCAGCGCACCACTGGCTCTCCCGCCATAAGACCTAACATACACACCGAAATACACACAAATCCACTACGTTCCTGGCAAACTTGTGACATTTTTGTACATTTTCTAGTCGTTCGTTGTGCTCTCACCATGATCATGCCTGTGCAGGAAGGACTCGCATTGTCGGGAATATACTGTTAGTTTGTTTATATGTAATTAACGCATACTACCAACACATGGACCATGCACACTGTGTAGACAGAAAGCCGTTGGGTATAAGGATCACGGTATATTCCCACAGCCTTGGTTGTTTAGAGCAGAGCCATATACTAGGCAAGGCTCGCAACTGGTTTTCCAGTGTGCGGCATTGTGCAGAACAGTACAACGTTGCAGCGGGATTATCAGCTGACCCAGCAACGCAAAGTGGTCCTGTGGTATTACATTGCGTTGGCTTAACACCATTTAATCGTTTGAGAAGGCAGGTGGCGAGAGCATATGAAAGCTTTACAGAGAGTGTGGTTTTATCATCATTCGATAACGACTGTCCACCGTTCGTACCCTTGAAGTTCACATTCTCTTCCTTTCGCGTAGATTTACGAGTCGTGTTTACTTCTGACAGGTACGTCGGGACATGCTCTTTTGACAACAGTTTTGTTTTCTAAAACTTGTTGGGTTGGAAAATAACTGCCTGTCGATGACCGCTTTTGCTTGTGCACTTGTTTACAAACCACCATCTGCGCTTCGAGAAGTAGGTTACTTCCCAGTTCTGAATGAGTTGATTTGGTGCTTATCGAAGAAGCCAACCAATTCCTGTATGAAACCATTGTCACATAGAACGGGGCTTGACTGCTGCAGCAGCAGAGAGAATTGTCACCTAGACTGAGCGAACGAGTGGATGGCTGGGGAATGTGGGGCAACAGATAACCAGATGCAGACTTTTCCCAAGCAGTCCTCGCCTGCCTCATCTTCCACCTCCTCAGGAGTGAGATCGAGTCTCAGCTGCACCTAGCTACTGGTTTTACTAGCAGGCACCGACTTTGGTTGACAGCTGATTAACAGAAGTGCAGACGTCAGCGTGCGGTATCGCTACTTGTTCACAGTGGATACAACAAAAGTGGATTCGCCTGGTGCCAGAATTCTCAACGAGACTACTGCAACCCTGCACTGATGGTGTCACTTCGACTGGGGATGAAACTTTTGCGACTGAATTATCAAGCACCATGACCTCTTCAACAACTGAACACTCTATTCGAACTGCCCTTCTCTTGAATCACGATATGACAACGTCAGTCTACCTGATCCTAGACAAGTGACACTGGATATGGTAGCCCGATTCACCAATCATGAATGCATAATTGTTTACTTCGGTTTAGTCGAGAATTATTTTGATTAAGAAGCGTTTTGCGCCGATATAGCTTATGTTTGGGTCTGCTCCTTCCTTCTCCTCTATAAACATGACTTAATAAATCTCATGGAATTAGAACCGCTTGCCCAAGTTACCGCAGCAGCATGCATGCTGACCTTTGTTAGTTTCGAATTATTGGTTCATTTTAAACCTTTTGCTAATCAACTTAAATTTCGCTGAATTTTCCTTCGCATTGTTACTGGTGCTAGGTTAAATTTGTGGAACGTCGATTCTGTAAACCAATCTCCGAAATATTCTCAGCGAATCTTCGATTTGACCATTACTTCATTTCTTCATCTCGTCTTTCAGCCGACCACCTGGGCGGAGAAGTTGCAAACGTTGTGCCAGCTAGCCACCCCAAATTGGACACTCACGAAATGTGCAGACCGTCCGTCGAAACTGCACTACTCCCGATTAGGATTCAAGGTAAGATATGGATCCGTACCATGGCGGAGCTAGACTCTCCTATGTTCAACTCGATCTGCTCTTTGTTTCCGCCTTCGGCGATAAACACAGATCAAGTAACACGTTTTGTGATGTTTTCTGAATTGCAGTCTAAGATATTGTTTTTAAGTTTTCAACTGCCTTGCTGCGTTCACCTTGTCGTACTGCACCGCAAAACGTTCCAACTACTGGTGCCACTTGTTCGTTGGAGAAGAAGTGTCCCGATTTTTGCGATTGCACAATTCCATCCAGCAACGAGGTGTGTATTGTTTGCGACTGCATCTATGCGCAGCCGCCGACTTACACGGCGCACCAGATCAAACAACACTGAAATGCTAGTTGGTTAGTGATGTGTTCACTCTTTGACAATACGTCTGGTGTGTCATCCGATCTGTGATCAAGTTATACGTGGTACCACCACTGGCTATGCTGTTTCACTGCCTTGGTTTGCCTTTACTGTCAATAATTTTCTGTATGTTTAGACAGTCTTTGCTGACAAGGCGTCTAGTTCATCTCTTGGTGCTATCACCCACTATGGGTGTTCCTTAGACGATTGGTATAAAGTGACAGAAAGATAAATTTAGATTCGTGCACCTATCTCAAGTTTTCTCTTCGCTATTGTTGCACAACGCGAGTGAAAGGTTGTATCTTTCCCCTGTTTTTGTTTATCCGTTCGTCAAAACTACACCGACCAACATTACTAAAACAGATGATCAATCAAACTACTCCCAACACCGATACCCATGACCGGTTTCGTCCTGTTTTGGACTCATCAGATGGAGTTCGCCTGAGCTGGAGTGGAACTCGAGGCCTAGTGGCATAGTGATTGGGGCGTCAGACGTTAACCACTAGGCCCAGAGTTCCACCGCATCTCAGCCTATCTCCAACTGAAGAGTTCGAACGAGGACGAAACCGGTCATGGGGTGTCAGCTTTGGGAGAAGCAACACTGAAACTCCTCCTCCATTTCGGATATGGTCCTTGTGATCGGAATGACCGAGGTCTCGATAGAGATTGGGTGTCGCAATCCAATCACACTGCGGGTATTCCAAATCCCACTTTGAAAAGTACTTCATTGTTCCATGTGACAAGGTTGTGTGTGTTGCTCACTTGTTAATCAGTTGTGGGACCACCCACATGGGAAGCCACATCCAACTTTCTGACACTGACTGAATGCATACTCTGAAAGCAGCCTACTACTGGTTACTTTGATGCTTTCTGCCGTCACAGTCGCGCCCGAAACGGTGTCAAATCGATAAATCTACTGGGGCTTTGTTCACTTTTCTTTTCCGCCAACGGAGCCAGTGGGAAATTCGATCCGACTGCATTGTGAAGCGCATGGATGGAGTGGGCTGACGCCTTATCCACTTTCTCCCTCTATGCTCCCCGTAGTAGGTCTTAGGGGAAACCTAGACATGATCTGGATAAGTGCTCTTGTTAACTCCACATAGCTGGGACAGCTAATGTAAGGAACGTAGGCATTAAATTGGTGGACCAGGGTGTTTTTTCGGGTGTTTTCCTTTTAGACCCATCAAGAAGTCGGAGCACCCCTATCAACTCCAGGATCGATGACCAGCTCAAGAAGGAACACTTACGGGATTCATCCTATCGTTCCAGTCCCACTTGAACTTGAACTTAAATGTTTCTGCGGCTTCGTCTTTCGTGTGCCACAACTGGTCCTTATTTCAGGGCATCACATGCCCATGCATTCGTCCACAGCTTTTATATAGTTGTGTGATTTCGAATGAGTATTGTGCAACCCTATCCCTCCTGCACGATCGTGAGCAATCCTAGTCTTTTGCCTCAATCCATCTTCTGAAGCCACTGTCCCCTGGGCGTATGAAATTTTAGTTTGAACCATCAAATAGTTTCATGGGTCCTCAAGGGATGCGCCACTCTATCTCGGTCTCCGCTTAACTCTTCCCTACTCGTCGACTTAGATGTTACCTAGGGTTCTGTGAGCTCGTCTGATCTCGAGCGCATATACATGTCCCGTATTCGCATCACCATACCTTCATTCTGATTTTATCGTCACCATATTCTCGCCGGTTGCCTCTCTGTGGGGTTTTCGTTGTTCACCAGCGACAATATTGCATTTTGTATTACTGTCAAGGCTGATATAACACTTATTGCTACTATTTGCGTATGGCAGTTTAGTTGGTGTTTAGGGCAAAATAGACTCAGTTTCGTTGTCCTGCGTTTTACAGATCGGCAACAGACTTATGACGCCCGTCCACTGGTTAGCTGCCTGCTGATTGGTGTATTTCCTCCTTAGATCAAGGGAGAAATTCATTGTCTCTTCAGTATTACCCCGTTAATCAAGGCATTCTGCGACACTTGCTCATCTAGTTTGGGCCACTATGATATTGGCTGGGCTTCTGTGACGCTGGATATTTCGGACTTAAGAATTCTCCTATCAGTGTTTAACTGGAAAACGGCTATATTGAAGCATGACAAACGATGTTGTGGTTGGTCGAAGCCTTTTGTGCATGCTGCGGTGATCAGCACTATTTGATGCAACGTAGCGTCATTTTGTTTCATCCGCTTTACGACGTGGCAGTAGACTTCGGTCAATCAAAAAATATCCAAGGTAGGAAGCAACTTGGGAGTTGATCTGAACATCGCGAGCATCTGGTAGCTCGGCTTGCTTGTTCCAGCGTTCATGCGTCCACTGAGTTTGGTAGCTGGATCGATGTTCCTCAGCAATAGTTTACCGCCATCCAATGTTCACCTTAAAAATGGATCGCGGCTTAGCTTCTGCAGTGAAGCGAGTCCTGACACGACCACACTCACATCCCTCTGGTGGGGAGATTTAACCTTCACGCAACCGAAGTCCCAGCATCGCTCAGTGAACAACTCAAGTTTGACTTGAAAGAGTTAATCGCCAACATATCTTTATACAACCATATCACCTCTATCTCGCGATTCCGAACGGGTGACACATCATCCGTTTTGGACCTTGTGCTGACCAACAAGTAACTAATTGACGATAAAGTGACCATAGATGTACCACTTGGTCAGAGCGATCATGCGATGTTGCTCTTTCGTTATATCTGCTACGCGGAGTACAACGACGAAACCTACATCGTCACTCATTACGATATTTTGTCCGACCTCGTTCAAGTAACCGACTGATCCTTCCTGGCCGAGCAACCGCCTGATGTCGCTTGGACGGTGTCTTTCACCCAATTCACCGAGTTAGTGGCAAATGCGTCGGAATGCAAGGTCTTTCGCTCTAAGCAAATGAAGTCCTTTCTAAGGAGCGGCACTAGAAAATGAATATGGTCTTAAGGGATTCAGCCTGACACGTTTACAATGCCTGTCCGGGTAATCAGACCTGGGATGTTTACACAACTCAACGAAGCCACTGTGTCAAGTTGACCCGCGAAGACAAACTTCGGCACCAATAGAACTTAGCACCGAAATTCAGTACAAATCCTAACTTGCTGTACAGACACGTCAACAAGCTTCACGGAGTACAGCGCAGGATCCCGATTTTACGTGCAACAAAGGGTCTGGCACAAACTACACGAGACGCGGTCAACACGCTTCACCAACGTTTCATCCATACTTTCCAGAGTGAATCATCATCTCACCCGCTTTTGACACAGCTCCCACTGCCACCAGAGTTGAACCACTTGTCGTTCACGGTAACCAATGTGATGAAAACACTATTGTCTCTGCTCGTGCACTGCTCTCCTGGCATGGACGACATCAAACCGAAGACCTTGAAGACAGCTTCCGTGAACAATGCCGAACCACTAGCTCGGTTCTTTCAACGATGTTTTAATGAACTCCAGCTTCCCACGATGTGAAAACAAGGAATAGTCATTCCTGTTTACTAGAGTACGAATCGTACTACCCTCCAATCATTCTCCTCCCAGTTTTGTCCAAAGTAATGGGAGGTACAATCGCAGTAGCGCTCATGGGATACCTTGGAATCAATAACATCTTAGTGTCACAGCAGCACGGATTTTGCCGAAATCGGTCTCACACAACAGACTTGTTTCTATCCCGAGCATACTGGACAAACTCAGTCGATGCTAGAGTAGGAGTCGACGTCATCTAACTGGATTTCTCCAAAGCGTTCGATCGCCTGAACCACCGCATTCTCCTACACAAGCTCCAAAGCTATGGAATCGGTGATCCTGCGCTCGGTTGGATCGACAACTTTCTCATTCATTGTCAACTAAATATGAGAGTCCGCAGCTCCATTTCTGACCGCATTGACCTCCAGTACGATGTGCCCCAAGGGTCCGTACTGGGGCCACGTTTCTTCCTAGTGTTTATTAACGCTGTTGCCAGGATACTGCAGTCGAATTGCTTACTATTCGCAGATGAATTCAAAATTTGGCATGATATCAGGACATCGGATGATCACATGGCTTTGCAGAGCGATCTCTACAGGGCTTATGCGTGGTCATCCGATAACCGGCTCCAGTTCAACGTGACCAAGTGCGAAGTCGTAGGCATACGCCATCAGCTTACCAACGAATATTGACTCGGGGACCAGCACTTGCAACACGCTTCCTAGAAATGTGACGTCGGCGTGATCGTGCAGGATGATCTTGGATGCTCGAGGCGGGCGGAAAGGCACCTAGAAAGGCCACTCAAAACCTTGGACTCTTACGGAAAGCATTCAAAAATTTTGAGCCATCAGTCTTTCCGCAAATGTTGTACGCCTACGTGGAAGACGCGATCCAGGTATGGCTTCCTTGGCGCAAACGCGACCTCAACGCACTCGAAGCGTCTCAACGCAGAGTGATCATACTCGTCTGAGGATTGTTTCACCTCCCCTACCAGCGTAGATTGCATGCCCTGGGATTTTACAGTGGTGAATATCGACGTCAGTGAGGAAACCTCATCATGTTTTACTTGATACTGATGAACCCGATTCACCCTTGTCGCAACCTGTTGCATCTGAGTCGAAATAGCAAACTGAGTTGTTACCAGCTCAAACTGGCTACGCACTACACTTGACTTG